TCTCCGGCCTGGAGACCCTGGGCTGAAGGTTGATCTGATGCGCGGCGTACCGAACCGCAAACGGCCACAGAAAATGGGGGGCAGCCGCATGCACCATGGACGTACGGGCGACGTCCATGACAATGCCGATGCGGCGCTCAGCAATCTTATTCTGCTGTGGAGAGTCCGGAAGCGTGAAGGTCTGGCGGATGCCTCGTGCACGACAGTAGGCTCGCAGAAGGCCGGAGGAGAACTCTCCGCCTCTGTCCGAGTGCTGACGCAAAACAAGAAAGTCCGAGCCGAAGCTACGCCTGAGCTGGAGACGAGCTGTGCGGATCCAGTCGATCAACACCTCAGTGACCTCACCCTTGCTGCGCAAGGGGAAGACCGTGGTGTAACGCGAGTAGTCGTCAACCACCAGCAGGAAGTAGCGCTCGTGACCCTGTCCACGGACGCGGGCTGGGCCCCACACATCCATGTGAAGCGTCTGCATCGGGGCCTCCGTCGGAGGAAACGGGGAGGAGTGAGGGGTAGCCCGCAGGCGACCCTCAACACAGGGGACACAGGGAGGGCCAGGCCCCGGAGGAAGGGGAGGGAGGGACCGGGGAAGACCAGAGACAAGAAGGCGAGAGGCCATGCCCCGGAGACGAGGCAGGGAGGGGTGACCCATCCTGTGGTGCCACAGGAGGGTCTCGTGGGACAGGAGGCGACACGAGCAGGGAGTAGACTCAGGACCAGACCTGGACGCTGCAGCAAACACCTGACCCGACGCAGCTACCTGACCAGACGCGGGAGGAGGAGACGGAACAGTGAGTGTGTACAGGCACGACCCCGGCCCACGTGTGAACGTGGTCAAGTGTCGACCCGTGTCCGCGTCCGTGCAGTGGGTGTCCCGTCGGCGTGCAGGGGTGAACTGGTCAACCCCTGCATCCTGTAGGTCAGCACCCGCCACCAAGTTCGTAGAGAACGAGGGGAGGTAGAGACCGGACAGGGAGCCAGACGGGACCGCAGGGCACGGAAGGACAGTGGAGTAGCGAGCCAGAACAGGACCCCCAGAGGGGTCTGCAAGGGAGACTGCCACAGGCCGACTAAGCGGCGTGAATGTGGTGCGGTCTCGAAAGAAGGAGCGAGACGCTCCTGAGTCTAGAGTGAAGGTGAGAGAGTGCGGAGCCGACGCTGTACGTGAGAGAGCAGACTCACCAGCACCTGGGGACGCAGACTCACTGGCACCTAGAGCAGCAGCCTCAACAGCACCTGGAGCAGCAGCCTCAACAGGACCTGGAGCAGCAGCCTCAACAGCACCTGGAGCAGCAGCCTCAACCGCACCTAGAGCCGCAGTACCAATGCCCGGGTCGGGCGGGAAACACCGGTAACAGTCACCCTCCTCACTAATAGTCACAGCATACATGGCACGAAGAATAGCATCAAAGTCAAGATCAAAGATAGCTACTCCTGCCCTAGACAGCTGTTCCCAGCGAGGGATCTCAGAGGCATCAGGAAACTGGCGGCGCCAGGCGTCAGTCAGGCGGCCGAAGCAGCGCTGGGCGGAGTGTGGACCACCACACGGCTCACCCGCACGGTCGCCAGTGCGGAGGACGTAGGTGCACGGACCAGGACCCCCACCCCTCTGACGTGCAGCGTACCACTCACGGAGCTGCTGCGGGGAGAGGGTCTCCTGACCTCGCTGCTGCTGCTGGCGCTGACCACCACCGGAGCCACTCCTCCGCGACGAGCCACGACCTCCGCCGCCGCCTCCTCCGCCGCCGCCTCCTCCGCCGCCGCCGCCACCACCTCCGCTGCCACCGCCACTCCCACCGTCGCCGCCGCCACCGCCGCCTCCGCCTCCACTCCCACCACCACCGCCGCTGCCGCCCCCGCCTCCACTGCCGCCGCTGACACCTCCACTCCCGCCACCACTCCCGCTACCACCCTCACCTCCTCCGCTGCCTCCACCGCCGCCTCCACCGCCCCCGCCGCCTCCACCACCGCCCCTGCCCCCTTTGCCCTTGCCAGAGCGACGTCTCCCACTGGGGGCAGATGCCGCACCGACCGACTCAAAACCAACTAGGTCGGCCGTAGCAGCAGAGGCGACAGAGGGCAGGAGGGGGGAGGGGGAACACCCCTCAAAGATGGGGGTGCGCGGGTCACCACGAGAGGCCCCTACAGCGAGAATGCTCTTCTCGGCTGCTAGGAGGGACTTCTCGAGGAGCTCAACAGTGAGAGTGGTGGGGCAGACTGAGAGTAAGTCGTCCCTGACTCCGCGAAGGGAGTCAGGGAGGCGGGTGACAATGTAGTAGAGAGTGAAGTACTGGGGGGGGGGGTTCTTGGCGCAGAACTCAGCAGGAAGTGCAGCGCGGAAGCGAGCGTCACTAGTGCGCAGGTGGGTAATGAGGTCGGCGACTGTGGCAAAAGCAGCAAGGTCGGGAAAGAGGTACGGTAGCATGAGGCGGCTCAGTGCAGCAGTGGCAGGGGTGGAGTAGCGTGCAATAACGGCGTCGTACAAGGTCTGAGCACTCTTGTACGACCCAAAGTGTGCACGCTCAGAGGGAGGGAGGTGGCGACGCACAGCAAGACGTGCAGCAGCATCGCGTGTGGCCCACTGTGAGCGAACAGTGGCATCCTCAGTAGCAGCAGGGGCGGGAGCGGCACCAGAAGTGAGATCAAAAAGAGAGAGGCCGTCAGCTCTGTCGCACTGTAGGAAAAGCAGTAGGTCGTCTACCCACACGTCAAAGTCTATGGCTCTGCCCTCAGCGTCAAAGGTGAGGACACTGGGGGTAGCCATGAGAGCAGTAGGGGGGAGGGCAGTGCGCAGAGCAAAGCTCAGTGCTCACCAGACAGGGCAGTGCAGGCGGCTCGGGCGGCGCGGGCGGCTCGACGGCTGGGCCGCTCGGGCGGCGCGGCGACTCGGGCGGCTCGGGCTGCTCGGCTGCTGGGGCGGCTCGGCTGCAGGGGCGGCTCGGCTGCTGGGGCGGCTCGGCTGCAGGGGCGGCTCGGCTGCTGGGGCGGCTCGGCTACTGGGGCGGCTCGGCTGCTGGGGCTGCGCAGTTGCTGGGGCGGTGCAGTTGCTGGGGCGGCGGGGCCGGGAGATGCAGCTGCGGGGGCCGGAAGAGGGGACGGCGGGGCCGACTGAAGTAGCGGCGGGGCCGGCAGGTGCAGCGGCGGGGCCGGAAGGTGCAGCGGCGGGGCCGTCAGGTGCAGCGGCGGGGCCGGCAGGCGCAGCGGCGGGGCCGTCAGGTGCAGCGACGGGGCCGTCAGGTGCAGCGGCGGGGCCGTCAGGTGCAGCGGCGGGGCCGTCAGGTGCAGAGGCGGGGCCGGCAGGCGCAGCGGCGGGGCCGTCAGGTGCAGCGGCGGGGCCGGCAGGCGCAGTGGCGGGGCTGTCAAAGGGGGACGGCGGGGCCGTCGAAGGGGACGGCGGGGCCGTCGAAGGGGACGGCGGGGCCGTCAGGTGCAGGGGTGGGGCCGTCGAAGGGGACGGCGGGGCCGTCGAAGGGGACGGCGGGGCCGTCGAAGGGGACGGCGGGGCCGTCGAAGGGGACGGGGCGGGGCCGTCGAGGTGCAGGGGCGGGGCCGCCTGAAGCCGCGGCGGGGCCGGTAAGCGCAGCGGCGGGGCCGTCACAGGCGAACGCGGGGCCGTCAGAGGGGACGGCGGGGTCGCGAGAGTCAGAGGGGGGGAGCGGCGCGCGACGCGGCGCGGCCGTCTAGGGGCGGCGCGACTAGGCCGCGGAAGGGGCGCGCCAAAAAAAAAGCGGGCGGCTCGACACGATCGGGCCGCCAAAGGGAAAAAGAGGCCCAGCGCGACTCGGGCTAGGGCAGAGCGCGCTCAGGGCAGGACGAAATAGTGGGTGGGCCCTAGGAACAGTTCCCACTAGGGAACCTGCTCGATACCATATCAGAATAGAGGCGAAGAATGAGTGCACTATGAAATGAGAACAAGTACAAGTACCAACCCTAATTGGGTTGTACCCCCTATGGGCTATCCCACTACAGCCTAAATATATGCATCAGCAATATAATCATCTGACAATAAAAGCCGCCGCACTTAACGGGTTGGGCGGGACGGCAGTCGACTCCCACATAATTCGGACACCGACGCAGGTCTGGCGACGCCACCTGCCACATAAAGTTCTTCCCCAAATCGTCAGAATGCAGCGGAATTAACATACGTTGTAACACCGCGACAGGCACAGTTGTCTGTTTCCCGAAGGGAGAAAGAGGGGGGGGGGGGGGTCACGGTCGATCACGACCAACGAAGGCAAGGATCCGTCGGTAACCAAGAGCTCACGATAAATCCATGGTTGTGTGGCCCTCCGGATGTACTCGCTAAAGGGAGAGTACATTAAAGGATTATAATTCCTTACAGTTTCAGGTACACCCCGTTCTAACTTTACAACGGGTCAGAGCTTTCGCGCCAAGACGGTTTTCAAGAAGCGCGGTTCGATCGACTTCCTTGAGAACGTCGAATGAGAAACGGAAGCCAACCAACGGAACGGAACGGAACGAGACGGACAGAACCAGCGGAAATACCTCGCTTCGGCCAAAATCCGACTAGCTGGGGACCTTCGTCTGAGCTGTATTTGGTGGTGTCCGTGATCTTGCGTGACTGTTCTTCAAAAAGTTATTCAGAGGCTGCGTGTGTTTGGCACAGTTTAGGACCACAGTCTAGGCATTAGCAGGCTCGACGTAACCTTCAGAGTAAGTCCAGACGCATTTGGGAACTTTATTTATCTTTCGCGCTTCCCTCCATTTCGGATGCTGACACTCCGCATTGTGTCAAAAGCGAAAGCTTGTCAGGCCGCATTTCTGGTAGAAGACTTAATGGTCGTCAGCGCTTTCAGCCTTGTCGTAATAATTTTCTGAAACGGACCTTCCGTTGCCAGATGTTCTTCAAGCGGATCAGAAGGGCACCATCTGTCATTGACCCAGCTCAAATGGCTCGAGAATAAATCGACGATACTTGTGAGTCTAACTTAAAGCCGTCGGGAGTCAACGTCTCAGATTCGTCCACGTGGCTCGAGGCGAGGATGAACCGCAGCGAGCTTCTGCGGGAGCTGCAGCGGCGGGAGGAGGAGGCCGCGCGCGAGCAGCTGCTGCTGCTGCGACGAATGCGCGAGGCGGAGCGGGAGAGGACCCGAGAGGCGGAGGTGGACAGGGGGAGGGGAAGGGGGGACCTGGGGGAACGCGGAAGAGGGGAGACGCAGCAGGAGCTGCAGCAAGGACGGCAGCAGCAGCTGGCGCAAGAGCGGCAGGCGCAGGGGGAACAGGCGGAGCAGGTGTATTACGACTTCAGTCGCATACGCCCGCGGGAACCGTCGCCTCCTAGGGTAAGTAGTGAGGATAAGCCCACGAGGAGAGTCACGACGGAATTTGAAAAAAGACACGACGAAAGCCACGCGGATGGTTCATATCCTCTGAGAGGGTAAGGAGCGAGCACCATTCCGCATAGGCCCGCTCCGCTCTCTCGCGTTTGACGTTCGTCAACGCAAGAAATGACACACTCTTCCTACCCCGCTTTCCTCGTCTTGTGCCCACAGTTACCCAGAGACGCGCTCCCGTGGGTGCTTCTAGCGGGGGGCGCGGTAGCGGCAGCAGCGGTGGTACACCACAAGCGGCGGTGCCACCGCAGCAGGCAGCAGCACGCCGCCGCGGAGTCCGTAGTCGGCTCCTCAGGCCCCCCTCTCGGCGCATGCTCCGCCCCCCTATTCTCCCCCCATGGCCCCCCATTCTCCCCGCACGCCCCCCACGCCCCGCACGCCCCGTACTCCGCCTTCCCCCCGTCCGCCTTCCCCCATGGCTCTCCGCCAAGGCCCGCCCAGCGGTCGCCCCACGCGTCCGCGCGCTACTCCTCCGCCTCCTCCGCCCGTTCCCTCGCCTCCTGCCCTGGCGCGTCCCCCCGTTATAAGCACGGCGCGCCCTCCTCCTGCAATCACGGCGCGCGCTCATGCACCAGCGGCCCCCGCGTTAGAGGAGCGCAAGGGATAGGCGCGCCTGTGGCGGAAGCTTCCCCGCAGAAGGAGCTATCTGGGGCGCTTTCGGGTGTTGGGCCGCGGATAGAGGGGGAAGGGGGGCGGGGGGAGCGAGGCGATGGGGGAATATGGGCGGAAGGGGGTGCGGAAAAGGGGAAGGGGAAGGCGGAAGTTAGGGGGAGGCGATTTGGAAGGGGGGTAGGGAGGGAGGAGGGTGGGGAAGAGGTGACGTCTGCTAGAATAGAGAGACCTAGTGGTCGTCATGACCATGCTGCTGCTGCTGCTGCTGCGGGTGCTGCTGCTGGTGGAAGGTCGTTGTTGGCTCCTGCAGCGGAGTATGGTGAGTGCGTTTGCACGCATGCAAGCAGACTCACCAGCGCCTCCAGTCCCCCACCTTGTCTCCCATGCAATTCCCTACGCTTGTTGTGTCCTCCTCTTGACACTCCGCCTCCACCTCCCTTGCGCTTCTGTTTCCTCGCTTCCTCCACCCCTTCCTCGTCCCCTTTCCCGTTCCCCCTATCAGGCCTCTACGCGGACCACCTGCGCCCCCACGCCCTCTCACCCGCCCACGCGCTCAGCACAGGGCCCGGACGCGCAGCAGCCATCAGCGCAGCAGGCGGATGGGGAGGAGGCGGGGGAGGGGGAGGGGGAGGGCGGGCGGGTGGAGGTGCGGGGAGAGGAGAAGGGGGGAATGGGGAAGGGGGAGGCGCAGGGAGTGAGGGATCTCCGCTGCCTGGCGGGCTGGCAAGCTGGCTGCGGGAGGAGAGAGAGAGGGGGCAGGGCAGGCGAGGGGGGATGGAGCGGAGGGGGGGACGAAGGTTGGTGAATGCGGGTGGGCAGCAGCATGTGGACATGGATGGGCGGATGAATCAAGACGCAGTGCAATCAGGTCCCTTTCAGGGGAACGATGAAGGTAGGCAGAGTGGGGGCAGGAGAAGCACAGAGGGAGAGGGAGAGGCACAGGGAGAGTGGGAGAGACACAGAGGGAGCGGGAGAGACGAAGAGGGAGCCGGAGAGGCACAGAGGGAGTGGGAGAGGTACAGAGGGAGTGGGAGAGGTACAGAGGGAGTGGGAGAGGTACAGAAGGAGTGGGAGAGGTACAGAGGGAGTGGGAGAGGCACAAACGGACCTGGAGAAGGCATGTTTGCATGCTGTGCCGTGCCAGGCTTTCTGCCTCATGCTTGTGCCTCTCATGCCTTTGTCTTGCATGCCCTTGCCTTCCATGCCTTTGCCTTGAATGCCTTTGCCTTGCAGGTAATGTCATCCATCTCTCTCCACAGTTGTCTGAGCTTCTGTGCTCTGTGACTGTACAAATGAATCCTCAGATTGCTGCTAACTCATGCCTGCATTTATCCTCCTTGTCCCCATCTGTCGCCACCGCTGTCCCCACAGGGCCACAGGCACCCCTGTGTGGAAGAGGCACGCCCCGCCGCGCATGGCTTTGACACATCTCACAATTGTGCCTCTCTCGTTTGTCGCTAACTCATGCCTGCATTCATCCTCCTTGTCCCCATCTGTCGCCATCGCTGTCCCCACAGGCACCCCTGCATGGAAGAGGCACGCACGGCTGCGCACAGCTGCTCGCAACACCACGCCTGCACCCTCGGTTGCCAGCGCTGCTGGCGCTAGTGGTGCCGCTGCCAGTGCTTTCACTGCCAGTACTGCTGCCCCTGCTGCTGCCACAGCCGGTGCGGCCAACAGCCCTGCTGCTGCGGGGTCAAATCAAGGCAGCTCTGCCACTCACCTGTTTGCGCCCTCGCCATTCACTGCAACCCCCTCACGTTTCCCCGGAGCTCCCTCCCCGTTTCCTGCATCTAAAATCCCCCTGGCATCTCCTCCTTCCTCTACCCCACCGCCTCCTTCCGTGGGACTCGCTCCATTCGCGGCGGCTCTACCAGACCCCGCAGCTGCAACTGGTGGTGTTGGTGATGTAGCGCAATTAGCGGATGGCTCAAGGAAGGGAGGCGCTGTGGTGAATGGAGAGGCGTTGAGCGCGGCTGTAAAGGCGGGTGGCCTGCCGGCTCTTCATGGACTCTCGCTCTCCTCGAATTCGTCAGTTTCTTCCGCACTGCTGCCTACTGCCCGTGCGGTGGAGGCAGGGCGAGGAGGAGGAGGTGGAGGAGGTGGAGAGGGAGGAGGAGGTGAGGAAGGGCGGGAGACAACACCACTTAAGGATCTGGCAATGGAATCTGTGTCTGCTTCAGCAGCAGCCAGTAGTGCTGCTGGTGTTCCTGCTGCTGCTGGTGGTGCTGCTGCTGGCGCTGCAGTCACGGCGACAGGGGCAGCAGCAGCGGCGGCAAACGCGGCACAGTGGCAGTTTGGCGGCAGGGTTGGTTCAGCAGCTGTGGGAGGCACGAGCAGGCTTGGCACGCCAGTAGCACCAGCACCGGCAGCAGCGATTGCACTTACTGAAGCCTGTGTTTCAGGCCAGGCACCGGCTGCCGTGTTTCGGTTTGGGAGTGTTCCAGCAGGGAGGAGGTTTTCAGATTCTTTCTCCATGCCTTTCACTGGCGCAAGCAGCACTTGTGCTGCTGCTGCTGCTGCTGCTGCTGCTGCTGCTGCTGCTGCTGCTGCTGGTTTTACTACTGGTGGTGCAGGTGGGACGGGCACTGCCTTCCATTCTGCTGCATCCCACAGTGCCTCCACTCCCCCTTCGTTCCTCTTCTCGGCCTCTCCCACTCCCCTCTTCTCCGCGTCTCCTGTGCTTGCCTTTCCTGGTCTGACCAGCACAGTTGCTCCCCCTCCTGGTGCCATCAACAGCAGCAGCCGTGGCACTGCCAGTGCCAGTAGCAGCAGGCCCACGCCTCTGTTCCGCAGGGAGGAGTTTCAGCGCCTGAGAGCGCAGTTGAAACGCCGGGATGAGATGATACTGGACATGCAGGCGCAGATGAAACGGCTGGAGCAGGAGAAGGAGCGGATGGGGAGGAGGATGGACGAGGGAGAGAGGAAGGCGGAGGGAAAGGATGCGTTTGTGTCTTCGCCTGCTGCTTCCAATGCTGGTGGGGGTGCTGCTGCTTCTAATGGTGCTTCTGCTGATGGTCCTGTTGCCACTGCTGCTGGTTCTGGTGGTAGTGCTTCTTGTACTGCTGCTGCTGGTCCCTCTTCTAGTACGCTGCAGCTGCAAGGGGAGCAGCAGGCAGCATCGGAGATGGAGAGAATCAAATCCAATCAGATCGAAATAGAACGGATGGAGGCATTGCTTGCAGCTGAGAGGGCAGCGAGGGAGGAAGCCGAGACACGGGCCAACCAGCTGAAAGCTGACCTGGAAAAGCTGGCTGCTGAGCTGGCAATGAAAGTGGCAGGCGCAGTGGAGCAGAGGAGAACGGAGGGGAGGGAGATGAGAGTGGGGGACAGTGAGGGAGAAAATGAGAAGCGTGGGCTTGTGCATGGGAAGGAGGGAGGGAGAGCAGGCGTTGGGGAGGATGTGGGCTCAAATATGGTGTGTGGTTCTGGGTGCGAGAGGGGCTGTAGTAAAAGCACTCACAGTGACGATGGGGGTGGTAAAGAGGTGGAGAAAAGTGAGGAGGACGGTGAAGGTAGGAGAGATGGAAAAGGGATGGAGGGGGAGGAGGATGTGGAAAGGGATGGTGATGGTGATGGTGATGGTGATGGTGATGGTGATGGTGATGGTGATGGTGGGAATGACGGTGCAAGTGATGGTGCGAGTGATGGTGGGAGCGACGCTGCAGGGATGATAGCAGAGGCTGTGGCGGCGGTAATGGAGGAGGCGAGGGAGGAGATGGAGCAGGTGAAGGCTGCTGCCCGCGCTGCTGCTGACGAGGCTTATGCTAAAGGGCGGGCGGAGGGGAGGGCGGAGGGGAGGGAGGAGGGGAGGAAAGAGGGCAGGGAGGAGGCGTGGAGGGAAGGGATGGAGGATGTGAGATTGGATGGGAGAATTGCGGGGAGGAAGGAAGGGAGAGAGGAGGGGAGGAATGAGGGGAGAGAGGAAGGGAGGAAGGAAGGGAGAGAGGAAGGGAGGAAGGAGGGAAAAGAGGAGGGGAGGAGGGAAGGGAGAGAGGAAGGGAGGGCAGAAGCGATGCAGATTGCACAGGGGGAGCTGGAGGAAGCTGCGAGGAAGGTGCGTGAGCTGGAGGAGCGAGTGGCTAGAGCTGAAGACATGGTCCTGATGAACAGCAGCCATGGTTCAACGGATACAGCTCCTGCTGTTGTTGCCTCTGACGTTGCAGCAGCAGCTGTGGCGAGTCTAAAGTCACTGGAGGAGCAAGTGAGAGACGGCGAGGAGATGGAGAGGGCGTGGCAGGGGAGGTTAGAGGCAGCAGAGCAGGCAAGAGACGCGTTGCACGCACAGGCAGTGGCTGCAGCCGAAGCTGCGACTGCTGCTGCTGAGGCGGTAGCAGCAGCAGCGGAGGGTGAGGCGGCAGCAGGGAGAGAGGCGGTTAGAGGGGTGGAGAGATTGTTTGGGGAGGAGAGGAGGAGGTGTGAGGAGTTGGAGAGGGAGGTGGAGAGGGAGGGGAGGAGGTGTCGGGAGCTGGAGGGAGAGGTGGAGAGGGAGAGGAGGAGGTGTGAGGAGCTGCGGGAAGAGGTGGAGAGGGGTTGGGAGAGGTGCAGGGAGATTGGAGAGGAGTTGAGGAGGGAGAGGGAGAAGGGGGAGATGGAGAGGTTGATCGTGCAGCAAGAAAGGGAAGAGAGGGGGAAGGAGAGGGAGAGGGCGGAAACGCAGGCACAGGAGGCTGGGATTTTACTGCAACAGTTTGAGCAGTTGGCTGCTGCTGTGGTTGATTCAGTGGTGGCTAAGGTGATTTCTGAATCAAAACAAGAGGCTGGGCTTGTGCTGCAGCAATTTGAGGGCCTGGCTGCTGGTGTGGTAGATGCGGTGGTGACTAGGGTGGTTTCGAAGTCAACTGAGGAGGCTGGCCTTGTGCTGCAGCAATTCGAGCATATGGCTGCTGCTGTGGTTGATACGGTGGTGTCTAGGGGCAGGGAGAGGAATGGCGAGGAAGAGAGGGGTCTGCAGCATGTGAGGTGGGAGATGCGAGAGGGAGGGGCAAAAGGAAGCAGAGCGGAAAAGAACAGGGGTGTGAGGGAGAGTGAGGAGCTCAAGTCACGTGTGAGTGAGCTGGAATCCAGGATTCAGGACGTTTTTGAGAAGGAAAGGTATGCAATGGATATTGCAGCGGTCGTCTTGGAGTCAATGGTGGGTGAGGTGGTTAGAAAGGCAGTGGTAGCACGGGCTGAGACAGAAGCGGAAGTGTCTGAGAGGGAAAGGTATGCGATGGAGATTGCAGCGGTTGCCTTGGAGTCAGTGGTGGGTGAGGCGGTTGCAAAGTCGGAGGCGGAAGCTTCAGCGAAAGAGAGGTATACGATGGAAATCGCAGCAGTTGCTTTCAAGTCAGCGGTGGGTGAGGTGGTTAGGAAGGCGGTTGCACGGGCTGAGAAGAAGGAACAAGAAACTTCTGAGAAAGAGAGGTGTACGATGGAAATTGCAGAGGTTGTCTTGCAGGCAGCTGTGGATGAGGCAATTACGAAGGGGATGGTAGCACGGACTGAGACAGAAGCGGAAGCTTTTGAGAAAGAGAGGTATACAATGGAGATTGCAGCAGTTGCCTTGGAGTCAGCTATGGGTGAAGCGGTTAGGAAGATGGTGGCACAGGCTGAGAAAAAGGAAGCGGAAGCTTCTCGGAAAGAGAGGTTTACGATGGAAAATGCAGCGGTTGCATTAGATTCGGCGGTGGGTGAGGTGGTAACACTAGCACAGGCTGATAAGGCTGTAGAAACTTCTGAGAAAGAGAGGTTAACTATGGAAATCGTGGGGATTGCGCTTGAAGGGGTAGCAGAGGTGGCAGTTAGCCAGGCTGTGGCCAAGGCAGAGGCTCGGATGCACGAGGCTGAGAAACAGGTTCGGGAGAAGGTATGGGAGGAGCTCTGGGAGCAGGTTCGGGAGGAAGTTCGGGAAAAGGTTTGGGAGGAGGTATGGCCCGAAGCTGAGCAGAAGGCTCGGGAGAAGCTGAATGCTGCATGGGCAGCTGTTGCCAAAGCCGAAGCTGCTGTAGAGGCTCGGAGTGCTGCTGTGGTGGAGGAGGGGCGAGTGAGGATGGAAGAGAGGGTAAGACGGGAGGAGGGGCTGAGGGAAAGGGAGGAGAGAGTGAGGGAGGGAGAGGAGAAGTTGGACGAAGATGTGTGGCTCTTAGAGGAGACACTTAGGCGGCGGGACGAGCAACTGCTGCTGTTAGCTAAGAGGGAGGAGGAGGTGAGTGGAAGGGAGGTAGTGGTAGGGAAAAAGGAGGAGGAGATAGCACGGAGAGAGGAGGAGGTGAGGAGGGGAGCAGAGGAGGCGAGGAAGGGAGGGGAGGTGGAGAGGGAAGGAGATATGGGGGATGGGGGAGTTGAGGTGGGGAGGGCGATGGAGGTAGCAGCAGCAAGGGAGGCTGCTCGTGCTGCTCATGCTGCTGCTGCTGCGGCCGCGAGGAGAGTGGTGGAGGAGAGAGAGCGGTGCAGAGAGCTTGGGGAGGAGTTGAAGAGGAGGGCAGAGAGGGAGGAGGAGAGAGCAAGAGGGATGGTGCACGTGGGGGCGGTTGTTCTTGAAGCTGCTGTGGAGGAGGGTGTGAGGAAAGCGGTTGAGAGGGATAGGGGGCGAGAGAAGGAGAGGGAGAGGGAGAGGGAGAGAGTGAGGGAGAGGGTGAGGGTGAGGCAGAAGGAGAGGGAGAGGGAGCGGGAAAGAGAGAGGGAGAGGAAGGGGGAGAGGGTAAGAGAAAGGCTGCGTGTAAGGGAACGGGTGAGGATGAGAATGCGGGAGAGGGAGAGGGAGAGGAGGAGGGAGAAGGAGAGGGAGGAGGGTGGAGGGGAGGTTGAGGAAGCATGTTTGCATGTCATGATGGCTGCAGCTATCGAGGCAGCTGCAGAGCAGGCTGCTGCCTCGGCTGTAGCGGCATCTGTAGCAGCACAGGGATTTGCAGCTGCAGCTGTAGGAGCGAAAGGATCTGTATCAGGCTGTGCAAAGGATGAAGGGGGAGTGGGGCTGGAGGAAAGGAAATGGATGGAGGAAGGGGAAGGACCTGAGGATGGAGAGGGAGAGACGGAGGAGGCAGAGGGAGTTGAGGGAGGGGAGGAGGAGGCGGAGGGGGAGAGGGAGGGGGATGACGTGGAAGGGGTGGGGTATGACGTCGTGGGGGAGGGGGATGACGTGGACAGCATGTTGGAGGAGCTGTTGGGATTGGCTGAGAATGGAGGGGCAGATGGGGAGAGCGATGGTGGGGATGAGGCGGATAGCAGGCAGAGCAGGTATGTGGCATGCAACGGTGGTGGCAAGGCTGCTGGCTGCTGGAATTCCGACATGGTGAATGGTGCTGTCTGTGATGATAAAGGTAGCGAGGATGTTTATGGTGGTGATGATGGTGCCGATGTGAGTCGTGATCATAATGGTGATGACAATAATGCAGATGGCGATGATGGCAGTGCTAGTAACGATGGCAGTGGTAGTGATGATGATGTGAGTCATGAGGACGAGGATGAGGAGGATGAGGAGGAAGAGGAGGAGGAAGGTGCGAGGAAGCAGGTGGAGAGGAGCATTTTCGCAGCCTTAGAGGAGATGAAGCAGTGGAGTGCTGGCCTTTCTGCCTCGCCTTCACCATCAGCCTCAGCTTCAGCTACTTCACACAAAGCTGACAGCACCAGCGGCAATGCAGAGCGCAGTCTGCCGTGCAATACGAGAGATGATGCTGCACAGTGCGCTTATCAGACTAGCGCTGCTGGCGCCCTGTCACCACAGTGTGGAGGGGAAACCGTCACTGTCACTGAGAGTGATGGCAGCACTCCCTTCAACCCATCACCACCGAATTCACAACACATGTCACCAATACAGCAACACGTGCAACTCGTACAGCAACACGCATCGCCACTGCAGCATCCCACCAGCAGCAGCAGCGGCACCCTCTGTCGAAGCCAGTCGGGGGTTCCTGCCACATCCGCCCCTCTCCCTGCTACCCTGTCGACCCCACAAGCCAAGCACTCTGCATCGGCGTCTTCCTCTCCCATCCTCCGATCCTCCTCTTCTCCTCTCTCCCGAATCGGTGCGTCGGCGTTGGGCTCGCGGAGGCGGCAGGTGCGGCCTGTCCGCCTGTTTGGTTCGGGCGAGGAACGGAGAGCAACAGCAACTGAATCTGTCAGTGGCTTTCCCTGGTCTCATTCGTAGTTTCCCATTCTGGTTCTTCTTTTCTTTTTACAGATGCCTAGAAATACCTTACCTTCTTCAACAATGTCTCTTCCTCAACCGCCCCGTTCCCCAAACATTTGTTTCCATGTTTCCATATGCAGGCCTCCTTGGAAGAACCACATTTGGACGAGATATCACAGCTTCTGCAGAAGTTCAGTATAGGAGCCTCCAAGGACGAAGGCCATACAAACTGACATGAGCTGACTGCTAAGCTAACGTGGTGAATATGCTGTTCCACCAATCCGAACGTAGCTTCCCGCTTACTCCTAATTTATGTATTTAATGTTGGAAATCCGAATACAGTATAACGAATACTGTATACCAGTGTGCTGTTTGGTTTTAGTGTAGCCCTCTTTATAAGCTTCTAGGTCCTACAATAATTGTGACAATTATTGTAGGGGCCACAATTATTGGAGTCTAGCATTATTGGAGGGTAGAGAGCACAATTATTGGTACACCACAGGGCCTCAGAAGTCAGCGAAAAAAGGCTGATGTAGGTAAAAAAGGCTGAGATTTCAGACCTTTCTTAGAGCTGAGGCTGATTTTTCAGCGATTTGTTGAAATGAAACAGGAAATGTTAATAGATTTTTAGTGAAAAATGGCATAAAATGGCTGATTTCTCTTATTTTCAGCAAAACGTTTTGTACCAACTCTGATTTTTCAGTCTAGGCCAAAACGAATCTGAGGCCCTGGTACACCATTATTGGTGTGAATGAGCCATTTTGGGAGGGGTAGCTGGATGCATATATACTCTGCTGTATCACTTCTTCAACATCATTGAGTAATCATTGAGTTATCATTGTGTTATCGTTCTATTTTTCAATCAGGGCCCTAGATCAGGGCCTACGATATCAGGAATTTTCCCCTGAAATTCCTGATTTCCAGGGTTTTTTTTTTAGCTAACCTGATTTTCCAGTGTTCAGCTTTTAGTGGGGCTGATTTTTCAGCCTTTACCTAGCACATGACTCTGAAATTTCAGCAATTTTTTCCAAGTGACACTGATGCCACTACGTTGTAACGAATCCAACCCTGAAAGCGATTCCTACACGGGCCGAGTGTAGTTGCCCGGCTGTACTAGGAATATCAGATTCCCGCGGTGTCAGCAGGGCGTGGCGGTGAATAGAAGACAAATTTGCCCTCAACCAGGGATGCATTGTTGGCGCGCGTGCTGCGATGATTGGCCACTTTGACAGCATTTCCTGATTTGGCCAATTACGGGGTTGCAAAGCAACGAGAGATTCAGGCCCATGTGATGCACATGTGGACCTGTGGCCCTGTGGCCCGGATTGTCGAAGACGTACTGGCAAGAACGGATGCATCCACGCCGCCCTGCTGTGCTACCAGCCATCCAATCTCCCACCCCAGCCTGCTCCTGGCTTTCCTTCCATCTAGCAAGGGTACGGTTTCAACGTGTTGCTGCCTGGTGGTGTACCAAGAGGCAGTCAGCCGTGTTTTCTCTCTTCCTGGCAAAACTCCGTTAGGCTAGCTTGGTAGTGCCGTTAGATGCTGCTCGTTTGCGCTGCAGCCAATGGCGGACCACCCGGACGCCATTGAACGACCTGATGACGACGACGATGAACCCGCTCGTCGTTCGCCAATCGATCTGTCCGCGGCAGTTACCGGACTCGATTTGCTATTCTCCAGCTTAGCGGCAGTAGATAACCATGGAAAGGATCCTGCAATCGCGCCGACCGTCTACATCCCGTTTGAACCAATCGATGAGCCGCTGTGTCCCTCCCCAACTGCGCCCGTGTTGGAGCAAGACAGCTGCAACCCTGTAGGTGAAGAATCTGCGGCGGTACCTGTGGCTAAGAAGTCCGCCAAGTACATGCAGTCAACGATTCCGTGGGGCAAGAAGGGAGGCACCGTTGGAGCAGCACCGGCTTCGCCAGCCGACCAACGGTCGACGCCCGCGACCGCAGGCACGCAGGCGTCGCCCTCAACACCTGGGCCTTCTAAACCTGGGCCTTCCAAACCAGCAGGGCCAGACGCAACTTACGCCGAGGCTCTGTACAAGTACAAGAGCGAGTGGCAAGAACGATTTCCTTGGGTCATACTGCTAAAAAAGGCTGACGGTTTTCCTGCTTTCAAGTGCAGGATCTGTACGGAGCATGCAGGCTACGCTGGACCGTGCGGGAGAGGCGGAAAGGGCGCCACAGACGTTCAGACGCAGGCGTTCAAATGGCATGCGGCAACTACGAAGCACAAGGAGGCGTTGAAACACCAGAAGAAGCTACTCGACGAAGCATCCACGCAGCCACGGATCAACAGCGACAATCTCGCTCGCGACACGGAGAAGGAGCGTGTCAGCAGGCTCCTCGACTCGCTGCTCTTCGTGACCAAGCAAGATGCACCCATAGAGTTATGGGTGAATCTCGTGCGCTACCTCGCGCGACTGAAGGTGCCTGGGTTCCCCGCTAAGGGCTACGGTACCTATTACACGACGTGAGTTACCGTTTTCTCGGGTTGCAACCGTGTATATGTAGATTAATAACCGGTCTAACATTGTGTTGTTTGACCTGCGCTGCAGATACGGCTTTGGGCAGCTGACTCAGTCGATGGCTACGTGGTTGCACACAACGCAACTGCAGCACATCCTTAGTAGCCCATACCTAGGCATCACATGTGACGAAAGCACGGACAGGTGCTCTGGAAAGCACATGATTGTTTTCGCGTCTTTCATCCGTGACTGTCGTCCCGTGACTGAGTTTCTTGCCCTGCTGACCGTGGAGAAGGGCGATGCAGCCTCTCTCCTGTCAGTGCTCTTATCCCACCTGCAGGCCGTGGGCATTGAATTGGCGAGGATATCCGGCATAAGCACTGATGGTGCGAGTGTCATGATGGGGAAACACAACGGCCTGGTCGCACGACTTCGCCTGCGCATCCCGCACCTCGTCTCGAGCCACTGCATCGCCCACAGGTGGGTTCTTATGTTGTGTTTCCTGCACCCCTTAATGAATCCGCAGCCACCCGTGGTAATCACTAGTTGACCTGGTTTGCTTGTTGTTGTGCATGCAGGGAGGCGCTCGCCGCAAAGGCCGCCGCTGAAGAACTCCCCGAGTTCGGGATGGTGGACGCCCTGCTCCGCCAAGTGGCAGAGTACTTGGGGCGTTCGGGCCCGTGGCATCAACGGTTCATGGGCTTGCAGGAGGTCTTCACGAAAACGAACCTGGAGCTGCAGGGGATCCACGACGTCCGCTGGCTCTCCCGCGGTGACGCCATTCTGCGCGCGGTAGAGGTGTTCCCCGCGCTGATCGTGATGCTGTACGAGTGGGACAGCACCCTGTACAAGCTCGTCACGAGCTACAGGTTTCACTTCCTGCTATATTTCCTTGCAGACGTACTCGAGCACCTCAATGTGCTGAACAAGGCATTCCAGCAGCGTGAGGTGAGCATGGTTTCGTACAAACCTTGAATATGTGCCCTGTTGCTGGTTTTGCTCCAATGTTTGGTGTTACTACCACAGCTCTGAGTTGGTCTGCCTTCCACACTTTTTCATCCATGTTGAACCCCCAACAGCTGGACATTGCTGGTGTTCACGGGCAGATCCGCCGGTCCATCTCCTTCCTTGAGTCCCGCTACGTCGACTGCGGTGACGACTTTGGAGGCGGTGTGAGCGCGCGACTCTCGCCATTCATCAAGAAGCACGGACCTGAGGGGGGCAAACCCGAGGTGAAGGTGCAGGGAGTCGACTCGGACGGGCGGCCCACTACACATAACTTCGAGCTGCACGAGGAACCGGACGACGACTACCCGAATCTCGGCTCCCACGACGCCTGCGTCGATCTCTGCACCACCTTCTCCGAGGCGCTCGTAAAAAACCTCACCACACGGTTCAAGGACCTGGACTCTCTGGTGGGAGTGCGGCTGTTCATGCCCGACGAGTGGGAGCTGGGGAGAGCGGAGCGCCACAGGCAGTGTCTCGAGTGGCTCGAGTCTCTCGTGAGGTTGTTCAGGGCACAGGACACGGACTACATCATTCCAGGTATTCCCGCTCTCGCTTTGTGCCTGACCGTATGTTACAACTATGCGTTTTAGAAGTATACCAGCCTGTCTAACTCCCCTCTTTTTCCCTTCTGCCTGATGTGGCAGGGGTCGACAAGCGGCGTGCGATCAAGGAGCTGCGTGCCTTCTGCCCCATCCTCGCTGGTGCCCCAAAGAACGAGCGCAGCTTCCTCGCCGGCCTCACAGCAATGCTGAAGACAAGCGACTGGGCGGCAAGCTACCCCAATCTGGTGCGTCTCTGGGTGGCTGTCGTCGTGCTGCCGCTCAGCATTGTGGAGTGTGAGCGCGGCTTCTCACGCCAGAACGTGATCAAATCGTGGCAGCGGGGGAGCTTGAAGGACGCCCGCCTCGAAGACCTCATCACGATGTCCCTGCTGGAGTATGAGCCCAACTACAATGAGGTGGTGCAGATCTGGCGCAGCTACAAGAAGCGCCGCCCATTCGGCAATGTGGTGGCACCACCAGCAAGAGAGGGGGAGGGGAGCGGTAGCATGGGAAAGGAGGTCCTAGAGGAGGAGGAGATGGACGAACTAGAAAGAGACGATGCAGACGAGCAAGCTTCTTTTGATGATGACTTTTGATTAGAATGCTCCCAGACTCCATGCTTAGCTTGCTTGCTATGCTAGCAAGATAGGATTTGGTTTGAATTGAAGGCTGTTTGCATGCTTCGTATTGTTTTTAACTTACTACTGCTATCACCCATTTTCTGTGGGGGACACTGATAGATCAGACTTTTTTATTAAGTAACACTGAACTTTCAGGCTTTTTTCCAAGACGACCCTGACGATCAAGGTCTAGGGGCAGAGGAACCCTGATACCCTTACGTGCCTCAAAGTGAATCTGAGGCCCTGCCCTAGATATCAGACTTTGGAGTCTGATTCAGAGTCCGTTCAGGCTTTTTTTTTTACCTAGTCTGAACTCCAAGAATTTTTTTATGCACCCTGTCTGATTTTTCAGAGTTTTTTTAACTGACTTGTCTGAAATTTCAGCGCAGTCATAGTAGTGTAGGCTGAGCCTCAGACTTGTTTCGGGGGTCCACTCTGAAACCGGTTATACAGGGGTTTCCGCCAGCCTGAATGAAAGGTTATTGAAACGAAACTTCCTCGAAACTTCTTTTCGATACACCCACGTGTGTACGGGCCAGCACTAACGATTTCCTCCGGATAAAACTGCTCAAGTTGGGGCACCA